CCTGTTACCTGATCAAGTTGTGAGTCTGACGGATTGTCTTGGTCAAACATGTAAGTGGCGTTGTTTGGACCCAAAAGCCTGAGAGCCATTCGCTCCTCGTAGGAGTTTCTGTTAAAATAAAAGTCTGTTGTTAAGTTATTTAAATCATACAGGAAAAACAGCGGAGCAGCTAAACTAAACTCTCAACACAGTTCAGCTGTAATATTTGCACATTTTTACATTACATCAGAACCTTTGTTGCCCCAGATGATAAAAAAATTCAACCAGAACATTTTTTATTTTCTTCTCTGTTTATCTCAGTCATACCTGACCGTGTCTTCTCCTGGCTTCTTTGGAGCGGAGTTTCTTCTCCAGGTCCTGAATCAGGGCGTCCTTTGAGCCCCGGATGTCCTCATCTGTGGAGCGAGAGGAGGTGGGCCGAGGAGTTCTTCAGGATAGGTTTTGGAAGCCTAGGAGGAGGAGGGGATTATTACTCCTGTCATAATAATCTGATGTGCTGCTTCACATGTGGATTTGCTTTCGAATGCTTTACACAGCCTAGCTTTAAGGTAAAAACCGCTAGTGATTCACAAACTTTCATGACAGGGTTAGTGCTGCAGAGTGGCTCGCCTGAATAATTTTATATTCCACTGACTTCTCCCTCTAAGTTTTCCCCGATTTTAACAGAAGTTTGTATTTTAGGGACAAAAGAGAAAACCACGGACTTTATTAAGCTTAGGGCGGAGATGGACCACATGATCACTGGAGCAAAGTATTCGGCGGCTGTGGCATGGAGGTACAATAACATCTCGTTTGAGTTTATTTTTTTCTGCGAAAACATGAAAGGAATAACCCGTTGTCCTCTTTTCTCTCCCTGTTTTTTTCTTACATGTTTGTTAAGACTATTCTGGAGAAAATGGGCATCCAGGGGAAGGCGACAGCGATGACCAGCTTCTGGAGCTGATCAGGGAGGACATGAGGCTGCAGAGGGAGGCAGAGCAGCAGAGGGCACAGGAGAGAAGGGAGAATTTTGACAGGCGTTTTACTTTGCTAGAAAAAAATGGTTAAGAAAGATTAAACATGTACATATAAAAGAAATATCTAAATAAAATCAGTTCTGTATTAAACACTTGAATTTTATTTTTGTTTACAAATGAGAATTGTTTAATATTACAGGGTATCTGCTGGGTCTTGAAAGTCTTAAAAGGTGATAAATCGGTTTTGGTCAAATTAAGACCCTTAGAAAGTATTAAAAACTATTATCACATCTTTGCTCAGGCTCAGCTTGCCGAAAGTATTTTCTCTGAATTAGCTCTCCAACGGTCAAGGAAATGATTAAAGATCTAAATAAAACTTCGAGCTCCATCATTTAGAGTTCCTTCTCCCTTCTGCTCAGCGGTTCCATGGTTGCTAGGTGACGGAATGTTTGCCGAGGGAGTTTTCAGTAAACCCGCCGATGCTGTGTGATCCCAAATTGTCACCAGCAATACAGAAAGATTGTGACCCTTTGATAGTTTCTTCACCTGCAACAATGCCGTTTTCCTCTAAATCTCTTAAATCCATGAGAAGTTCAGAAAAAATCTTAGCAGTTCCAAACTGTTTTAAATCTTTCTCTGCACACAATGAAACAAGAAACATGTGATCAGTGCTTGACCGGACATGAACAGGTATGTTAGCCACAGATAGATAAACAGCAACAACTTTGTGTTTCTTTTTAGCTGAACCAAGAGGATTTACAATTTCGAAGGCATCTTGGTACAGAATGAGTTTCAGGCACCCAGGATTTTCAATGAAGAACTGGTTGCACTGAAAGTTTTGTCCATCACTTATGTCATAGAAAACATCAGTTTGTTTCACTGGACTGTTGTAACACTGAATTCTTCCATAATTCTGATTCTAAAAGTATACTTAGAAGAAAATATCATTTCTATAGCGCCTCTCAAGATAAAAATCACGAGGCGCTTCACAAAAACAAAAACTATAAAAAAATTGTAAAAATATAAAAAAGCACTTAGAAAATGTTTAAAAATATATTTAAAATGAGCAAGAATAAGCAATTGCGATTTAAAAGAAAAAATGTTAAGAAAGCGAGAGAGTGAATAGGAAAGAGGGAAGTCAGTGGATCCTGAGGAAGGTGGAATAGGTGGGGAGAGCAGAATAAAGAGAGAGTGGTGAAGAAGGTCATACAAAAGCCAGCTTGAACAAGTGAGTCTTCAGCTTCTTTTTGAAGGAGACCACTGAGTCCACTGATCTCAGGCTCAGGGGGAGAGAGGTCCAGAGTCTGGGGGCCACAACAGCAAATGATCTATCACTTTTGATCTTTAGCCTGGTGCTGCACAACCAGTAGCAGGGTTTCCCTTACATAGGCTTAGCCGTGGCGGCCCACCACGGCTGAAATCCCACCGCCACGGCTACAAGATCCCAAGTTTTTTTTTTTGTTTTTTTTTTGCGCTGTTTCCCGAAGAAGCAGCGGGAACTACTCTATTGTCGCTTCTGATCACAGCCGGCGGGCAGCAAGGAGCAGCAGGCAGGGCAAGGTACAGCATAAGTTACTGAGTTTAAAATTAGAAAGGTAGCAGTGGATATAATGCTTTGTGGTTTACATGTTTCAATAGCGTTAAGATAAACGAGTGTTGACGACCTTGACAGGGTTTCCTCCAGTGCTTATTAGGCCAGGTTCTCCTCCCCCCACCAGGCTAAGCGTCACTTATTTATGTAAAATGTATTTATTTATTCGTGTCTGACTTTAACCGCATTTAATACTGTATTACGGCGTGAGCGCAACAGCGACAACATGTGTGAGCAGCGTGAGAGGTCGGGTGTTTCATCTGAACCCTTAAAACCTCCAGCAGGCTACGTTGCACTATTGATGTGTTAGCACGCGGCGCTAACAACTTAGCGACGTGACATGTCTCGGAGAAAGTGTAAAACCACGTTGGACGCTTCTTCTGAAGCGGGAAAATAACACTTCTTCTTAAGAAGAGCACGACGTCGCCTCGGCTCGTTCACGGCCGAGCCGGTGTCCGACACCGGACTGGGCTCGATAACATTGACCCAGCACAGCCACTGGGTCGTTGGAAACTGCCCCGTGACTGCCTGATGGAAAACCAGCGGGTTTCACCAGACTCGTAAATTTCTTGTTTTTGCGGTGAACCCCCTGTATTTTACCGCTCCCTCCTGCAGTCTTTCTCTATTAAAATTTAAAATGATTCTGTAAATTCCGTGTATCAATAGAAAAAATCTCTGCCTCTGCCAGCTGCAGTAAATGTAGTTTCCAAATAATAAGAGGTGCATTCATCTGTGGATCTCCTTTGATCCACATTAGTGATATTCTCAGCACCAGAACAGTGAAGCAAAGAAACAGATTATAATTAAATATATTTATGATGTTTACTGTAATGCTTCTTGATGTTCTTAACAAATAAATTAAATCTAAGATATTGGTCAATAATGCCAAATATGTATATTTGTGTTTCAGTCCTTTTTATACTGGCTTAAAAATACTTCATTGAGTCTACTAAGCAGGGGTGTAGAACGTGTTTAATAGGGCCAGCCCAGTAATGATCTTGGACCAATTTAAAGGAGGCAGAAAGTCATGTTAGCTTAAACAACTAATGTAGCTACCCACTGTACATGTATTAATCCGGCATGGGTTTCAATTTCAGATGAGCCTGCTCAAGTATTTTTCAAAGAAACGAAAGGCAGAGGAAGATAGCTCTGGTCAGGTAATAGAACCAGTGCCACACATCATGCAGGGTATGTTGTCAAATAATGTAGGCTAACTGATCTCATATTCAAAAAATTAAGCAATACAACATGAGTGTGAACACTATTACTTTTATACAGAAATTCAACAATATCTTATACGGGAAGAACCTCAACCTTATTTCCAGTTTGAAAAACATTTATTTACTCACCAAGATAACATATGTGCTATTTGATCGGTAGATGATTTGAATCTATAGGTTGCCTGTAATTATACTTAAGATCCAGCAGGTGTCGGTAGACCAACCTGGTAGCAGCACAATTTTGGCACAATATCAACACAGTTTGGGCAATGTGATGAAATGCTTCATGAGGCCTCATCTACCCATCACTACTATGGCCCATGCATGGTCTGAGCAGAACCTTCACTCTGTGCTCTGCAACAGTAAAAATCAAGCAAGTAATGTTTGACAGGCAGGAGAAGAGTTAGGTGCAGCAGACACAGGGGAAGGAACAGGGATGCCGAGTGGTGAAAAAGTTACAGAACCAAGTGGCGTTAATGGAGTGGGAGAGACCAGTGGTGAAGACACCAGTAGAGGAGGGCCGGGAAAAATGAGTGGCCCAGGAGAAAACCCCCAAGACAAGCACAGGTGTTCAGGATGGGATCCTACATGGGTCAACAAAAACAGCAGATTCCATTCTTGGCTCTTTCACTCCACCAATGGTGAGTGTTGTTTCCGCTTCCCTGTATTCATTTGGGCAAGTTGTTTTTTTTTGTTTAATGGTGAGCAGCTGATTGATCATGTTAATTATACATCATTTCTATTCACACTATGTAAATGAAATTGGTCAATTCTGTAAGAAATTCAGGTGTACACAGATGTGCAATATATATTGACATTCATGAATATCAAATTTAAATAAGTAAATTCTGGTAATTTTTCTGGTTCCCTGCTGGCTCCTGGGAGTTATTGTTAAAAAGTATTGAGACGGATCATATCTGTATTTTAATATTTAACAAATAAACCTGAATTGAACCTTTAGTCACTGGTCAATGATACCTTTTAAATGTTGTCTCCAAGGGATGTTCTGCCATTTGTGCTGCCAACACAAACAAGCACCTAAGAGAGGAACATCAAAGCGGCCATTCATTGAGGCTGGATGTCAAATTTACCGTGTGGATTACCTTGACAGGCACATGGCTACAGAGCACCACAAACAAAGTGTGGGTTTGCATGCCTTACTGGCACAAGGTAAGCTACAGCAATCCCACATCTAAATTTGTCATTTAAACTCTGAAATCATTTAAGCATAAACAGTTTTGTCTTGTATTTATTTACACATTTCTAGGCTCAGCAGTACTGGATGCCTTCGATCCAGTGATTTATATGGAACACGAGGCTATCATGGGGGGGTTTAAATGCCTATATTACTTAACAAAAAAAGAACAGGCACACCACACAAACTACCCAGCACTTCTGGAATTGGCAGAGCTGCTTGGGTGCGATTACTTCAAAAAGCTTAAGGTAAATAAACTTTCTTGCTATAATATTTGCAAATATTACTACTAGTCAGATTGAGTACATAAGGTAAAATCCAGATTCATTTTATTTGTTCACAGATTGGGAAAAGAACCAACTATAGATCACATCGAATTATTGACGAGATGCTTGAGATTTTGGCTGCAGTGGTGGAGGAGCCCATACTTAAGGACATCCAGTCTTCTGTGGCTATAGGGCTAGAAATTGATGAGAGCACGGATGTGTTCGTGACAAGGCAGCTGGATCTGCATGTCAGGTATTAAGATGAGAGGACAATAATTATTGGCTGAATCAATAATACTAATAGTAATGTTTTTACTTGGTCTTCCAGATATATGGATGCAGAAGGCAAGCTTTATAGTCAGTTCCTTGACTTAGTGGCATTGTCTGATGGGAAGGCAAACACCATTGTGGCAGCTCTAAATGAAGTGCTCGTCAAAAAAAAGGTCCCTACAGAAAAGCTGTTTGGACTGGGAACAGATGGAGCAGCAGTAATGACTGGTACTGTATGAACTTGTTTACACAGAGTTGTTTTTTTTACTGTCAGTGTTTTTGTCAAAACTGATCAACAGTTGTGTGATCAGATGACTAAATAACTAAAATAACCATAGTACCACTAGCAAGCATGGAGGAAGTGAGTGGCCTGTATTTGCTTCCTTTTTGTAACAGGGAGGCTGAATGGTGTAGCAAAGCAGATGCAGGATTCCTTGCCCTGGTTGCTGTCTGTTGCCTGTGCTGCTCATCGCCTCGCCCTGGCTTGTAAGGATGCTTCATCTGAAGTTCCATACATGGGAACATTCAGGGATCATCTACAAAGTCTCCACCTGTATTTTCACAACAGCGCAAACAGAACTGCAGTTCTTAGAGCTGCTTCACAGGTCTTGGGCCTTGACAACCTGACTGTAAAGGTGAGACTATGAACACAATTTTTATTGACTAGTGTTATGTACTTTTGTTCTTGTCTTAGTAACTTCTTGCCTTGGAAATTGATTATAAATTTTTTTAGGAAGTGAAGGACACACGGTGGCTGTCTCAGCATCTGGCAGTGAGCAATCTACAACGCAACCTTTGCGCAGTGCTTGGTGCCTTGGCAGAAGAAGTAGACAGTAACAAATGTCTGCTTGCAAAAGGACTGTACAGTTACTGTTGCACATACAGGTTCGTGGCTGCAATATATCTTCAAGCAGATGTGCTTCCCCATCTAGCACGACTTTCAAAAATATTCCAAAAGGAAAACGTGAACTTCCTAGCCATTAAAGACCAGGTTAGTCCATCACAACACGTCTTTCAGTATGTCTCTTAAAGTTAAAAAAGAAAAGATTCAAACCAGTTAATGACAGTTTACAGAATTCAAGATTAATTTCAAGCATTTGATGTGCTTGCTCATTACAGGTTCCTGTGACGAAAGCATGTTTGCAAGACATCAAGGACGCAGGCAACACAAAGGCAGGTTCCTTCTTGGCTCAGCTCCAAACTGACCTAGATGATCCCACAAGACTAGGGGCATTTGGTATCCTCCCTGAGGAGGAGAGGGGGAGGAGAGGCAGAGGCCAGGAAGAGTACTCCCAAGACATGCTTTGGCCCCGATTCAGATCAGAGGTAGATTAAAAAAAAATCAATGTAGTGTCATTCAATGTTAGAAACATTGGCATGGTCATACTATGTGCATTTTCAATTATTTGTGATCATTTTATTTTCGTAATTATTGCTAGGTTATGGAGCCTTATATTGATGCTCTTCTGGATAGCCTGGACAGGCGATTTCAAAACATCGATGTAATGTCAGCATTTCATGTGCTGGGACCTCAAACCTTGACAGAGGATGATGCTGTCGCGACAGCTAATGTCCTTACCCTCTCCAGGAAATTTCTGCCACAGCAGCCAGAAAGTACACTGTTACAAGAGTGGGCGTCATTTAAAAAACATATGGTGACCGGGGCTTTCAAGGTATATTCTAAGATAAAAGTAAATTTTACAGTTAAATGTGACTGATAAGCCTATTTTAATGTAACTTCTCCACTTGTCACTCTGTGTTTGGTTTTAGGATTTGGACCAACTCAGTATTCTGCAGAAACTCTCAGCTAGGGCTGTAGCGAAGCCTCGACGAAGTCGACGGCTCGATTCTAAAAATTTGTCGACGTCAGATCCGGAAGTCGACGCACCGCGCCCACTTGTTGCATCCCCAGGAGTTTGTAAATAGAGGAGGAATCTGCCTGTTCTTCCTCTAGTTCGCCCTCTTCTCCGCCTTCACTAACATCTCCGCCAAATACCGAAGACCCGGAACAACGTCCGTCCACTACTAGATTATTTTCCTGTTTTGCCCCTTCGTCTACCGGCAACGGACAACAACTTCCGGGGTCAGATGCGCTGCTTCGTGTCTATCGCAGATGTAGAAAATCACCGGGAGCGCTTCTCTCTTAATAAAGGAGCTTCTTTCAGACATGAGGAGAGCTGTTTTGGTGGTAGCAGTCTCTCCTCCGTGCTGGTCTGTTTGCTGCTGGGTGTTTTTGGTTTATTTAAACTTGGTAACTTGAACTTAATTTTGGTAAAGCTACTGTTAGCATCTTCGCTAACAGCTTCTTGCGTTGGGATAAGCTGTTACGTTTTGGTTTAGAGTTAATCTTTTTTGTGGTGTAGATCTCCCTTTTATTACATTTAGAGTGTTGTGGGTTTTCGGTTTAGTGTAAAATACCACCTGAGTTTGGTTTAACCCGTAAGACCACTCGCCTCACGCACATAAGTGACCAAAACAAAGCAGCATGGAGACACTCACTCTTCTACCACCTCTCAGGCAGCAGCCTGCACTCCCAAGTTCTACACGTCATCAGAACATAACCAACCAACACAATAAACGCAGTGTTATACGAAATGGAAGGCCTGTAGTGTTTATTCTCTTACAGTAAGAATTTATCAATTTTTTTTTGAGGAATTTATTTGAGATTTTCTGGTTTTTGTTAATTGTGCAATAGAAAACTAATCATTAGATTAATTTTCTAAATAGTCATTAGAATAGTCGACTATTCGATAAAATAATCGTCAGAATAATCGTTTTAAAAATAATCGTTTACCCCCAGCCCTACTCTCAGCACAAAACGATGAATGGGCCAACCTCTACCCAATGGTCAGCAAACTTGCAGCCATTGCCATGACAGTACCAATATCAAGTGTTAGCTGTGAAAGGGACTTCTCAACAATGAATAGGGTAAGACATTTAAAGAGATCTTCCACCCCTCAGTAAAATTTTGTCTGTTGTTAGATTCCTAGAGTTAGAAATTAAAAGAAACATTTGTACTCTTTAAGGTAAAGACTGACTTGAGGAACAGGCTGCAGGGGGATCATCTGGCTGCATGCCTGCAGCTCAGCATCAATGGGCCACCTTTGGGGGAATTCCCCTACCACAGGGCCCTGGAGATGTTTTGCAAGAAATCAAGAAAAATTAAATGCCAAATCCCACCCAGCAAAGTGTGTCAGTGAGAGTTTTGAAAAAAAAATATTATTGTGCAAATAATAGTGTATTCTTCAACACTAGTTATTTAAATGCAGCAGTTTCTGGATAGGTGGAGTTCAAAGTGGAGTGTGTGTAAGTGTGTCTAATAAAACAATATTAACTTAAAGGTGAGACGAGTCATAATTCCCCCCCCCCCACCCCCCCACCCCCGCTGGCCGGCCCCACCACCACAGCTGGAAAAATTCCTAGGGGAAACACTGAGTAGGCTTTGATCACTGGACCTCAGGGACCTGCTGGGGCTGTAGGGACGAAAGCCAGGCGTACACTGTGCGACTTTTTCACTCGCAGCACTCAGCTTCAGCTCAAACTGTACGACTTCCTCGCAGAGCACATCTCACAAGTCATGTGCTCACACTGTACGACCCAGTTCTCGCATGTGACCTGACTGCTCACACTGTACGTCTGGTAGCAACACGTCGGCCCTAAAATATGCTAAAAATAGCAGTTTTTACTAAACATGTTAGACTTTTTTGTCTTGTTTTGCCTGTTGTCCTTCGGGAGTGCTGCAGGAGGACACAGGGATTTATGGGGGTTGGATGAGGAAAACGAAATAAAGAAAGTAAATCTGTGTTTTGTGATCAGTTTAATTTGACATGAACACGACAAACACGCTTTCTTGACAATCTTTGTGAGTAAAAAAACGTGTAGAAATAAAAACGAACAACGTGTGTTATTAGGGAAATAGCGAGCGAGCGGCGTTGATACAGGATTGCGCATGCGCCGTGAGCGGTTCTGATACTTTTTGGGTCGCAGCTGCTCGCAGCGCCGCTTCAACAGTGCGATACCCTCACGAGCGAAATATTAAACACGCCAGAAGTCCGTGCGACCTCACGACTGCTGATCGGCAGCTGGTCACTTGGTGTTAATTGCCTCTCGTAACCCCCTGTACACTACACGACCGCTCGGCGCAAAACTCGCCCTGATGTCGTGGATTCTCGCACGACTGGAAAATCGGCTCAAAAAAGTGAAAAAGTCGCACAGTGTATGCCCGGCGTAAGAAGATCACCAATGTAAGATGGTGCTTGTCCATGTAAGGCCCTATAGACCAGAACCAGGATCTAGAAATGAACCCTGAAGTTGACTGGCAGCCAGTGAAGCTGGAGGAGAAGCGGGGTGATGTGGGTGTGTTTGGAGGACTTGGTCAGAAGCCGAGCACAGGCATTCTGAACCACCTGTAGACGGTTCAGGGAGGTTCTGCTCAGACACGTGAAAAGAGAGTTACAGTAGTCTAAGCATGAGGAGATGAAGGTGTGGAGAACAGTCTCAAGTTCAGAGCAAGTGTCTGTTTAATGGGTATGTAGTAGTAAAATCTCTGAGTCATGTTTTCATCGTTCCCTAAATTAATTTGTTTTGGTTCTGTGTATTTGAACACTATTTTGAATGTATGTGCTCTTGAATATGTTGTTCTTAGTTGTCCTCAATGACAAACAGAAAAAAGATCTGAATCTTTCACGCAGTCACATACTTTAGCAATAACATCATCTGCTAGACAAATGTCATCTTTTAAAAGTGACTTCAGTTTACTCAAAGTAGGGTTGTCACGGTATGAAAATTTAACCTCACGGTTATTGTGACCAAAATTATCACGGTTTTCGGTATTATCGCGGTATTTTTTAAACGGTGTTGCATATGTTCAGAAAGCATTGATAGTCCTGTTCTACACAAACTGAAATAGTTCTGAAAAGGTTTAACAGTGTTTATTAAACCTAAAATAACACAAAGCCTTAGCAAAAGTGCAACTTTTCACAAGTAAAGGAACAAATAGCTTATTTTTCTGGAACTTGTTACAGTAGTCAGTGCAGGTTTAAATTATACAAATCCAAACATTCAAAACATAAACAATATGTAAACAAATCAAAGAAACACCACTTGTTTTCTCATATACTTGTTTTCTTCATTATCAAAATGAAAATCTAAAACTCCAGTCCACACTTGACTTGAGCGCTGTACAAGTCAACCTTAAAAAATATGTATTTAAAATAAATATCCACTTTAAACAAATTACTAAAATAACTACTACACTATGTAATCAAATCCAAATGTTCAAGTATAAATGGCATTGAATAAGTAAACAAATCAATGACAAGGAACTAATTGTATATTTCTCATCATCAACAAATAAGATGCTTCATCCAGCAACAGGGTGTCCGTGACACGGTTTAAATGCTGGCAGAGGGCGCTGCGGCTGCAGTATGTAGTGACTCGTTGCATTCTCCCTCAACCAAAAGTCCTCACGTCATGCATTTCTGCTAAAATGCTAATGTTAACTTACCTTGCACTGGCTGTGGAGACGTGGGTGATGGTCACGCAGATGTGCCATGAGATTCGAAGTGTTGCTGCCTTCTGCAGACACTTGTTTCCTGCACGTTCTGCAAACGGGATAGCCGTCTTCTATTAACTGTCCCTCAGCATTTTTCAGAAATCCCAAATATGCCCATACTTCCGATTTAGTCTTCTTTGAGGGCTGATGGATGTCCTGGGCGCTGCCGTCTCCTCCTTCGGCCATTATTTCAGCTTCAAAGTTTTGGTGCCGTTGCAAATTAAAAAGTGCGTGTGCGCGCAGCGGGAACTTCAGCTGAAGCGACGGTGGCTGGTAAGGGTCATCGCGCCGAAACCGCGGCCACGGTAAACCCACCGAGATAATATAGTTTTTAAAAAACTGGACGGTTATTTTTATTGTCAACTTTTTTACCGGGGTTTACCGCTATACCGGTTACCGTGACAACCCTAACTCAAAGTGTAATCCATTCCCAGCTCATGTACGTTTTGCATCTCTTCAACGATGGTCTGTATTGAGGATGCTGGTAGAAGCAGCTGTCCTTGAAGTTTTAGGGAGAAATGACACAAATTTCAGAGGAAAGCCTCACTGAAATTTGGAGACAATTCATTTGTCAGTGTGCCATTTGGGCTCTCACCAGGCCCATCTTCTTCTGCCTCACTACAAATCTGAAATGTGCTTTCCTTGTACAAAGCATCAATATTGAGCGCAGTAAAGCCTCTACGTTTACGGGACATATGAGCTGTGAATGACGATTTAACAGTAAAATTCTTTTTACAGCCTTTTACTGGGCACGCAACGGGCCGTCCCTCCATTATATGCTCCTTTAAATGAGTAACGTTGGTTACGTATTGTAACCCCAGATTCTATGAGTCTAGTCGCAGCCCTTAAGCGAGCTGCTATTGGAAGGATGATCTCCGCATCAGCCAATCATGAAGAGCTTAAATGTACGCCCACCAATAGTGGGCCCCCTCGTGGTATATAACCGCAGTGACCCCACTGCTCGCCTCCAATGGCTCTTATTCCATCATAACCAGTGGGGCCAAGTGGCTTAAGGGCTGCGACTAGACTCATAGAATCTGGGGTTACAATACGTAACCAACGTTCTATTTCGTCTAGCCTTAGCCCTTAAGCGAGCTGCTATTGGAATAAAGCGCAGCTGGATGGGTTTACGCCACACTGGTTAACACAACCAATGGACACACCCAATCAATCTCCTTTAGTGAGGGACATTCAGCCTCAGACCAGGCTTAAAGACTGAGGCAGCCACGATAAGAGAGGGGCCCTCACTAAAAAAACATCATCCACGAGAGGATGAAATCCATCTCAGCAAGGCCAATGAGGTGCCATAAGCATTCATTCAGCCTGCTGGGGTCCAAGCACTGAACGAGTGATGGAACCTGAAGACACATCTCGTAAATAATAACGAGTAAAGGAACAGGATGAAGCCCATGAAGCAGCCTGACAAATGTCTTCCATCGACACACCACTGTGGAGCGCCATCGAAGAGGAAATCCCCCTGGCTGAGTGAGCCCTGAGTGCCTCAGGGGAATCCTGCCCCGATGACGTGTAAGCGAGGGAAATGGCTTCACACAGCCAGTGCGAAAGACGCTGGGTCGACAGCGCCTGACCAAGGGAAGACTCCCTGTAGTGCACAAACAGGTTTTGTGAACGACGAATCTCTGAAGTGCGTGACACATACCGTACAAGCGCGCGCACCGGGCAGAGAAGGTGAGAAGCCGCTTCCTCCTCAGAATTATGGGGAGGAGGAAAAAGTCCAGCCAATGAAATTGACCTGGATTTGAAGGAAGCATTAATGCTTTTGGCACAAAGGCTGGATTGGGGCATAAAACAGCAGACCCGCCATCTTCCCAGATCCTGAGGCATGCGGGAGCCACTGAAAGGGCGGTCAGGTCACTCACTCTCTTAACTGATGCTAGCGCTAGCAGCAATGCAGTTTTAAGTGACAGGAACTTGAGTGAGACCTGGTCCAAGGGTTCAAATGGGGCTTTGGATAAGCCGTGCAGAACCACCGTTAGATCCCACTGGGGAAAAAGCGGGCGGGACACAGGTCTGTTCCTCCTGACACCTTTTAGAAAACGTTTTGTGAGGGGATGATTGAAAACAGATCTATCTCCAAACCCTTGGTGACAGGATGAGATAGCTGCAGCATATGTTTTAACAGTGCTGAATGCGAGGCCCCTGTCCATCAGTATCTGCAGAAACGATAGGACATCCGCCAGCTGGCAGGAGAGCGCTTGAACATTCCGCTCTGTGCACCATTTCTGGAAAGCTGCCCATTTAGCAGCGTAAGACGCAATGGTAGAGGGCGCCCGCGCACTCTGAATCGTGGCGACCACATCATGCGGCAGCCCAGAAGCCTCTAAGCGTGACCGCTCAGCGGCCAGACCCACAACTGTTGGCCTACTTCCGGAGGATGTTTGATTATTCCATCCGCCTGGAGAAGGGCGTCCGCCCTCCACGGGAGCCTCCACGAGGAGCCGGACACTAGCGCTTGCAGGTCCGGAAACCATGACGCGGACAAGCGCCTGGGAGCCACCAGAATCACCGAGAGCCGTTCCGACCGAATTCGGTCTAAGAGACGGGGAATCAGAGGGACTGGTGGAAACGCATAAAGGAGCGCTCGAGGCCAGGGCTGGTGTGAGAAGGCGTCCGCCCCGAGCGGAGGTCCGTCCCGGGGACTCAGGGAAAACCACAGGCGACACTGAGCGTTTTCGCGAGCCGCAAACAGATCCACAGACGGTTCCCCGAACCTGATCCAGATCTGTGATATCAGTGCGGGATGCAGACGCCAGTC